CACGATAAAACAGGCATCATCAAGATAAGTAAAAAAGGAAGCATTATTTTGTGAATGGTGCTAACTTATTAGCCAATAAGGAAAAGGGATGGAGGAGGTCAATTGTGCTCTGTATTTTAAGCCAAAGTAAAATTTTTTAAAAAGTGAACTAATTAGTTATCAGATTTTTAGGAGGAAAAAAAATTTTTTTTTTAAATCCTCACCCGAGGATATTTTTCCATTTATTTTCAGACAGAATGGGAGGGAGAGATAGACACATCAATTGGTTGCCTCCCGCACAAACCCAATCAGGCCCAGGGACCAAACTGCAACCAAGGTACATGCCCTTGACAGAATCGAGCCTGTGACTCTTTGATCCATGGGCCGACGCTCTAACTGCTGAGCCAATCCAGCCGGGGCTAGAACAAAAAATTTTTAATCATGAAAAAGAACCACAGCCTTAGCCAGTGTGGCTCAGTTGAATGAGTGTCATCCATGCACCAAAAGGTCAGAGATTCAATTCCAGTGAGAGCACATGTCCAGGTTGCGGGTTCAGTCCCCAGTCTGGATACTTATTAGAGGCAACATATTGATGTTGCTCTCTCACATCCATGTTTCTTTCCCCTTCCCAACTTCCTTTCTCTCTAAAATCAATTAAAAAAAATTTTTTTAAGAAAAAGAACCACAGATTTAATTACATGAAAATATAGAACTGCTGTATAAAAAAATAATAATAGTAAACCAGCTAGAAAAATAATAAACAGAAATATAACAAAGGGTTACAAGTCCATACCTCCTAACAAACAGGCCTATATAAACTAACAAATCAACACCAAGACAGATCGACAGGTCAAAGATATGGGTAACTGAGATGAAAAGAAATAGTTAAAACAATAAAAAGAGAAAGCAGTTAATATTGTGCTGAAGTGGTAAGTAAAATTTCCCTTATTTCCTTATTATAATGTGCAATAATATCAAACATTAGATAAATACTTTTATTTATTTATTTTTTATTTATTTATTTTTTTTATCCTCACCCAAGGATATTTTTTCCATTTTTTGTACAGATAGAATGGGAGGGAGAGAGAGGAAGGGAGAGAGAGTGAGAAACATCGACGTGAAGGGACACATCGAGTGCCTGCCACCCGCACGACCAACCAGGGCCGGGGACAAACTGCAACCGAAGTACGTGCCCTTAGCGGGAACCGAACCTGGGTCTCTCCGGACTGCAGGCCGACGCTCTAACCGCTGAGCCAAACTGGCCAGGGCTAGATAAATACTTTTAAAGGGATGGCAATGGCAAAGCACCATAGAACCAGATCTTGCAACATTTTTGAGGGTAGGAATGTACTGCCTTCTTAGCACACCCCTAGCACCTAGGCATGATGCTTCATATATGGTATATGCTCAAAATATCTGTAGACTAATGGCCAGCTAGCTTCAAGAAACAAATGTCACAATATGTCCTGGTTATTTCTAAGGCAATTTTTAAAAATCACTGAGGCAATTGGAAATGCTGTGCATTTGTAAATGCTTGTGACTTGTTGAACCGGAACACCTGCTCTCTACTACAACAGTTTAAACACTTCTTCAGTTAAGCTCCCTATAATTAAACATTAAGTGTGTCAAATGTTTCTCAGGCCTTGATTTGTGCACATAATCTAAACACAACACTGACCAGAATTTACAATTCAAACCGTACCATTAAAAAAGAAGTGAGGGCCACCATCAACAAATCATCAAAAAGAAGTGTTGGCGAGGGTGTGAAGAAAAGGGGGCTCTAGTACACTGCTGGTGGGAATGCAGACTGGTGCAGCCACTGTGGAAAACACTATGGTGTTACCTCAAAAAGTTAAAAATTGAACTGCCATTTGATCCAGCGATCCCACTTCTAGGAATATACCCTAAGAAACCTGAAACACCAGTCAGAAAGAATACATGTACCCCTATGTTCATAGCAGCACATACAATAGCTTTTTACAATAGCTAAGATCTGGAAACAACCCAAGTGTCCATCAGTAGATGAATGGATAAAAAAGCTGTGGTACATGGACACAATGGAATACTATGCAGCTGTAAGAAAGAAAGATCTCTTATCCTTTGAGATGGCATGGAAGGACTTGGAGAGTATTATGCTAAGCGAAACAAATCAAGCACAGAGACAAATATCACATGATCTCACTTATTTGTGGAATATAATAAACAAACTGCTGAACAAAATTAACCCAGAGACACAGAGGTGGGGTACAGACTGACAAGCCTCAGAGGAGGGGGGGTTTGTGGGAGAAGAGATAAACCACAGAACTTACATGCATGTATGCATGACCAATGAATACAGACAACAAAGCTGGGGATAGGGAGGGGGGAAAGGGGAAGAGGGTATCAATGGGGGGGGAAAGGAGAAACATCTGTAACAAAAACAAATTAATAAATAAAAAATTTTTAAAAATAAATAAAAAAGACATGGGGCAGGGGGGATGGGTGGGAGCAGGAAGAAGGGTATCAATGGGGAAATAAAGGAGGGATATCTATAATACTTTCAACAATAAAGATAAATTTAGAAATTTTTAATTAAAAATAAAAAGAAGTGTACATATGTTTCTCTTACCAAACATCTGCTATTGATAATAAGTAAAATACCATTTGACTTCATGGTAGGAGAAAGAAAAGAGGAAAATAGCCTAGATGCCCAAAGCATAATTTATTTTAGGTAGTCCTTCACAGTGAATATATTATGAGAAAATCATTCCAAATTTGTCTTTTTCTTCTAAAAATGGTTCATTAAACATAAGTGGGAGCTCATCTACAAAAATGAGATGAAAAAGTTCATACACAACAGGATTAAACTAGAATAGGGTCACAAGATAGGGAAGAAATGTAGTACGTAAAGTTAAACGAGACTAGATTTATTCTGAGAAGAAATTTCATATAATCATTTGTCAAAATTAATGATTTGACCAAAGAGCTTCAATTTGTACCTTCAAGTAGTTTTTACCCATTTATTGCCTTCTTTTGCTTAAAAACAAAAGAAATAAACAGGGAGGAGAGGCTGCTATCTTGCACTTGAAAAGGTTTTTCCAAAAAGAAGCCATATTTTGGCCCTGGCCGGTATGGCTCAGCAGTTAGAGCGTCGGCCCACGGACGGGAGCATCCCGGGTTTGGTTCCTGCTAAGAGCACATACCTCAGTTGCAGTTTATCCCGGCCCCAGTTGGGGTTGTGTTGGTGACAACCACTAAATGTTTCTCTCTCACATCGATGTTCCTCTCTCTTTCTCTTCCTCCCTCTCTGCTTCCTGCTCTACCTGAAGATACATGCAAAAATGTCCTCTGGTGAGGATAAAAAATTAAAAAATAAAGAAAGAAGCAATATTTTGGAAACCTCTGAATCAAAAAGTAATATAAGATGAATCATCAGCACATAATATAAGCTAACCAAATAACTAAACATCTTTCCACAGTCTTAAAATATCCTCTTCTACTAAGAACTTGAATGCTACCATCACTTTAGAGAATGTCTCTAGGTTTCCCTTTCATATATAATCTTCAGTTGAGATGTTCTTCGAAGGACTTTAGTTTCCTAAGATTTCTGAATTTCTGCTTCCTAAGTTTATTTACTTTGATAGTATTTTGTTTTCAAAATTCAAACTAAGACTTCTTAGTCATCTGAAGCTGTGCAGTTCAAAGTCTTTAAAGTAGACAAAAGACATACTATGTGACAGCTTGATTTCCTCTCCCAATGTCCCCTGATCAAAAACATGAATACAGTAGATTCTCTATGCATAAAACCTTAAGATAATGTATATATTAAAATGGCCAGTCATACAATTGTTTGCTATATAAATAGTATATTATAACAACACACACACACACACAAATAAAGCTATATAATACCCAATAATAGAAGGATGGTTACATATTTTTGGTTGATCTACTGGGGGAAAGATGGTATGGTTATTAATCTGATCACTCACTTGATAAATAGTGATTAAGCCTCTGTTATGTACCAGACACTGGAGAAAGAATGCTAAACTTAAGACACATGATCCTACCCACAAAATCTCAGTCTAGGGAAGAAGACAGACATTACACAAATGATCTAATAAATACATACATAAATAGCAACTATGTTAAGTGCTATGAAATAAATCAATGGGGCACCCAATTGACATTGGAGATTTGCAGAAGTGATATTTGAGAAGATCCTGAGGGATGAATAGGGGTTTGACAGGTGGGGAACTGGGGCCTAAGGGCTGGGGAGGGAGAGGGCACATTACAGGCAGAAGGACCAGCACTTGCAAAGGCCCAAGTGTGAAGAGAAAGGGGGCCAGAGTGAATACTAGTTAACTGTCTACTGGTCTAGTCCAGGAAAGGGGAAGGGGCTTGGACCAGAGTGCTAACAAAGGAGATGGAGAAAAGAGAAAAGACGAAAATGTATCCCACAGAGAAGGGACATGATGTTACAACCGATATAAAGAAAGAACACGGAACAACATGAAAAAACGGGCAGGATACAATGTTTAATTTAAAAAGTAGGACCTCATATAATATATGATTTAGCTAAAGTTAAAAAAAATACATTTGAGAATAGTGAAACTGGCAGTAGGCTTACAGTGTAATGTAACATACTTTTATACTTATAAAAATACTTCTTAAAGGAAATGTATTCCTAAATTATGGCACATCCAACCAACAATATAACCATTAAAAACTTGGACCAGAACTTAGAACACAAAAAAGAGATTATGATATAATGAAATTTAAAGTGCAAAACATATCATTGCAGACAGCATGATCAAGCTACATTTTAAAAGGCTAATGTTCATTTAAGAGAATACATATTAAAGAGCACAGTATTTTCTGTTTGTCAACAGAACATAAAACAATACAATTATTTAATACAAATACAGAGAAAAGGAATTAAGAAAATAAAAATAATCATAAAGATAACACATGCAAAAGAAGCTATCAATATATATACATTTTTGTTAAAGTTCTAGTGTCTTAATATGAATGATTTTTACCTTTTTTTAATGAATATAATGCTGAGGTGAAGAAGGTCAAATAACCAGGAGGCTGGGGCGAGCCACTGAACTCAAAGTACCCAAGTACTCCAGGCTGCAGGAACAAAAGCAGAATTAGGTGACTGAGGTATCACTAAACACTGTGTAATGAAGATATTTTAAAACAAGAAAGACATGCCATTATAATTTGACAACTGCCATTCGTTGCATTTCATTTTTTTAAAAGCCTAACCACATGAAAATAAAGTTGGGTTTTAGGGTGGACCCTTCCTTCCATTTAGACAACAGGGTTAAGGGATACAATTTCAGCAGCTTTTACAGTGGGAATTAATTCAGACCTGAAACTTCCTTCCTTCTGCCTAAATAGGTCTTTCCACTCTCTGTTGACATTTCTCCTACGTCCCTGGTTTAAAACCTCACCATCAAGTACAAGTATTCACTCAATTCTGTTTAGCAACTCCAGGCAAGTTGTCAATTTCCTTTCTTAGATTTCTCCCTCTATTGCTTCCTCTCACTCCAAACACACCTTCACACTTATTGGAAATCAGGTGACATCTGACTGACTTCACTTGTGTTTTAGGTCATCCTTCGAGGGACTCTTTCCTCCCCCGATATCCAGAACCCAGCATTCCACAATGACAACCCTGCTCTTTTGTCAGATCAGTCTGCAAAGGGTCCATTTCTTGCTCTATACCCCCACAAACTTATTTCCACCTGTTCATTCCATTTCTCTAAGCTTAGGACAGAATGCCCCACCATTCTGCCAAACCAATACATTATCCCTTGCAGATAGATTCTGCCTTCCTGTTCAGAATAATTTCTTCCATCTTTTAAGGCCCTGTGGCACCCATTCTCTCTGGTTTTGTTCTACAATGATTGCAACTGTCTGAAAAGCCAAACTGATATAGCTGAGGAAAGAGTACTAGGTATGGAGTCAGAAGACTTAAACTCAGGTCAGATAGCTGAATGATCTTGGGTGAACCCTTCAAAGAGAAGCTTCAGTTTTCTTATCTGGCAAATGGAACAATTCATCATGGGGTTACTGAGAAGAATGAGCTTGATGAACTATAAAGTACTAGACAAATGTTAAGGATCCTCTCTAGCCCTAAAGCATGTAATATCATGCTTTTTTTTTTTTTTTTAAATCCTCACCCAAGGACATTTTTGCATTTATCTTGAGAGAGAGAGAAACATTGATGTGAGAGAGACACATCGACTGGCTGCCACCCACACGACCCCAACTGGGGCTGGGGACAAACTGCAACCCAGGTATGTGCCCTTAGCAGGAACCAAACACAGTACTCTCTAGTCCGCAGACCAATGCTCTAACCACTGAGCCAAACAGGCCAGGCCATCATGCTGTTAATAAATAATGGTGGAGCTGATTTGATCACTGGGGCAAATTCAGATCCAAAAGGTAGAAATTTAATCTGTTGCTGAAATTTTAAATCACCAAGTTGTATAAAAAAGGAAATTTCTAATCTGTAGTGGAACATACTAGCTTTCAAATCCAAATCACTTGTTTGTTCTCCTAAGATTCAATTTTCAATAAATCACTTGGTTTTTATTCTGGTAGGAATTGGGATATTCAGAATGTTCAATCCTAATATTATCTACAAAAAAAATCCAGCAAATAAGCAATTTCTAAAACAACTTAGAACATCAGAAAGCAAAGTATTGAAAACAGTATTTTCTTTTGCTAAACTCCTTCAAAATCTTTTATTTTATGTTTTTAATCCTCACCCAAAGATATGTTTAGGGAGGAAGAGAGCGAAGGGAAGAAACATTGATGTGAGGGAGAAACATTGACTGGCTGCCTCCCGTATGTTCCCAAATAGGGGATCGAACCTGCAACCTAGGTATGTGCCCTGACGGGAAATCAAACCCAAAACCTTTTTGTGTACAGGAAGATACTCCAACCAACTGTGCCACCTAGCCAAGGTTCCTCCAAAATCTTTTTTTTTCTTTTTTATCCTCACCCGAGGACACTTTTGCATTTATCTTCACAAGAACGGGAAGGAGAGAGGGAAGAAGAGAGAGAGAGAGAGAAACATCGATGTGAGAGAGACACATCAAGTGGTTGCCACCCACACGTCCCCAATCAGTGCCGGGGACAAACTGCAACCGAGGTACATGCCCTTAGCGGGAACCAAACCCGAGACTTTCTGGTCTGCAGGCCGACACTCTAACCGCTGAGCCAAACGGGCCAGGGCCTCCAAAATCTTTTTAACAAGCCAATCCAGAATTGGCTTAAAGTAGAATTGCATAGTGTTGGGTTCTTAAGGTTTAAAACCAGGGTACAATGGTGTCATAAGCCTTACTACCAAGAACAAAAGACAAAATCTTCAGACATTGTAGTCACTTAGTTCATGTTGGATGCAAGATTACAAAAATGGAAACTAGTGGAAAGAATAATGATTTATTTTTTAAAAACATTCTGACCAATCTCCCAAACTAAAACCAAATGGAATAAACTCATCTAAATATTAATAAATGTTTCACTGCTAAAAATCAAATGAGATGAATTTCAGCTTTCTTCTCATATCATGGTCTCTCCAGTGGCTTCACAGAAGTGAACATATGACCCATAAACACATCTACATCTACATGAATGTATGCAACTACATAGGTGTTTATGTACCCAAATGCACACGTGTACAGATATTAACAGAAGTAAAAAAAAATTTGAATCCTGACTCTGCAAGAGAAACCCCAATTAAACCTTTAAAAATAAACAAAAGTTGGACCATTTGCAGGGGTTCTTTGTGAAAATTTCTCTAATCTGAGGATTTATTTTTGTCAGTGGCATCACTGCTGCAATTTTATAAGGGGCTACATAGCTTGGACAAAGGAGCCTCTATCTTCATAAGAACTGGTATTGAACTTATCCAGTAGTTTGATCAAAAATATTCCATAAACAATAAATATAAAACAAATAATCTCATAGGCAAAATTATTTTCACATTTTATTGCCAAAGAAACAGAGACCATAAGATTCAACAACTATACGAGATAATTTAAAGCCGTATAACAACTATTTTAAAATAAAACAAAAACAGGCAAAAAATATTTTTAAGTGTTATTTTTCAAATAGTCACAATGTTGCGACAATCTATATTAAATTTTGAAAACTGGCCTGTTTGAGGATGTAACTTAAAATTAATATTTCAAAATAATAAAAAAAGGAAATAAAGTGAATTGCTAGTTATCTGTTTATTTCTATTACAAATTATCATTTAAAATGTACTAAAATGACTGGTTATTCTTTTTTTTTAATCCTCACCCGAGGACATTTTTCCATTTTTTGTTCAGATAGAGTGGGAGGGAGAGAGAGAAAGAGCGAAACATAGACGTGAAAGGGACACATCGAGTGGTTGCCACCCACACAACCCAACCAGGGCCAGGGACAAACTGCAACCAAGGTACGTGCCCTTAGCAGGAACCGAACCTGGGTCTCTCTGGACCGCTGGCCGATGCTCAAACTGCTGAGCCAAACCGGCCAGGGCACGACTGGTTTTTCTTTAAGTCAAACAAAGTTTGCAACCATTTCCCCAAAGTTTCAGTGTCTCCCCAACAGAAGCTGCATTTGAGAAGAGATTACATATGTCAGAGTTCCTTCCAGAATTCTTTCTTAAATCTGGAAAAAGGAGAGTTTGGGGAATAAAAGTCATGCATATGCATATATGCAAACCTTTCTAGGCCTGGGTTCCTAGTCTACTCAGCTGCAAATAAACCAGGGGCTGGTTCAAAGCACGACTCTAACCCTAATATACATCTGAGGCTCTTTTTCAGATGAGCTGGTTGAGCACATAAGCCAGCCTGACACTGGTTTACAATGGGGTGCAAGCCCTGCTGGTACATAAATTATTCCTCCTCACTCTGCCACTTGCCATTTGTAAAGATCATCTGACCCCAGGTTCCAACTGCAATGTTTCTATTAGTCCACTCCCAGATGCTTAAACAGCTACCAGGTAAACAGTCATGGGAACTCAACTGAGAACATTAATTTGGGGAGGACACTACTCAACCCTCTACATCTTGTTTATCTGTTTTCCTTTGTTATTTATCTCCACGTTAGAACTCCATGAAACAGAGGCTCTCGCTTAGTCATCACTATATTTACAGCACATAGCAGGCACAAAATAAACATTTGTTAATGAGTGAATGGGGATAAAAAGATAAATAAGACAATACTCCTTTATTAAGTTAACAATTTAGCAAAGAACATAATGAATGCCAGATTATAATCTGACCCACTTTGTGATTTTAATTCCATTCCATAATGTACAGTGTATTCAGTACCTGCTATAATGAGGTTAAAAATAAATTATTAATAGGAGGCCAGCAAACCCTCATCAGCATTAAATATTTATTTCCTAAGTGAATACTATTTGCATTTTGGCATAAATTTCAGCAAATGATGGCAATTGAAATATTTCTGCACTAATGTTAACTCACACCTAGAAAACTTAAAACTATTTAGTTCACAGTGCTATCAAACTATAAATTGACAAAGTATCTATATTTGCTTGGCATTCACAGTAGTCTTTTACTAACAAGCAACAATAAGCAGCAGGTGCCAGGCATTCTACTAGGTGTTTCTTCAAAATGCTCAGGTTTTCTGTTACCTAGCAATTTACCCAACACCTTGCTTGTCCCTCCAAAAGATTCCCAAGCCTTTTCCCATCCCACTTAAATGTAAAACAATTTGGTTTACCATAAATGACAAGCATAAATGAATGGATGTATGCGAAATCACTACGCTTAAATAGATAAATTATAGAAATTGACAAAAAGATTTAGAAAATAATTTGGCTGCATATGTAAGATAAGAGTTCTAAATAATACTGTTGGCATTTAATGGTCAGAATAAAAGGTACAAATCAAATTATTCTTATTTCTTAAAAAAGTAAAAAAGCATTATGGATGTAGAAGCTGCTGATACCTAAGCCAAAAGATGCCTTTAAAAATACCAAAATTAGCCCTGGCTGATAGAGCGTCGGACTGTGGTTCCGAGAGACCAGGATTCGGTTCCCGCGAAGGGCACGTACCTCAGTTGCAGTTTGTCCCCGGCCCTGGTCGGGCCGTGTGGGT